ATCTTGCTCGCCCGTGCATCAAAAGCTGTGTGCTTTGCTGTGGCATTTTGCAGGGCTGGCAGCCAGCCAACCCCCTGCATCAGAGGTGCAGGGACCCAGACGCCAACACACTTGTCAACTCCGCCGCCCTCAGGCACACCCACGGCCCCCGCTCGACACGCCCCCCCAACCCCACGCCGCAGCTCCTGCGCGCGGCCAGCACGGAAGACCTGCGGACCCTCCACCAGGAGGCAGCAGCCCTAGCGGCCCTCCGCTTCGACTGGCGGGACCCCCCTGAGCCTCTTTCAGCAGCCAGGGACGCCGCCTACAACCTGCATTACTACCCAGCGGAGGCGCTGCTGGCGGGGCCCGCCCTGATCGGGGCGTTCGACGAGGGCGCGGCGAGGGGGTTTGTGGAGCTGCTGGAGCCGGGGCGCGCGCAGGTGGCGTGGTCGTCGAGGCGGTGGGTCGGCGCGGCGACGAACAAGGAGAGGTGAGTTTTAAACTGCTGTGAACTGTTGACAATTCATGCATACTAGGTTCATAGCTTATGGGGAACGTTTGTTCTGTTTAATGAGAGGGGCTCCTGGGGTTTGGGGTCGCCGTTGCTGGAGGCTGTCGTGGGGCCGAGAGAGGGATGGGCTCTCGTGTCAAGGGGGAGGCAGCGGCAGAGGGCACGGCGTGTGCGGCGAAAGCGCTGCTGGGCGCAGATGTGTGGGGCGCATTTTCTCTGCGGTGCGCTTTCGGAGGCCTGCTGACTACACATCTCGCGTGTTCGCCTGACTAATGCCGTACATCACCTTCAACAACTGAATCGCAGATGGTATGGCGCAGATTACAGCATCAGCCCCTTGGACCCAGAAATGGCAGACGCGATTGCCGCTTACTGCGCTGCCGACGCCAACGCTGGCGTCACCCCTGCTGCCGCTAGCAAGCCACCGCGCGCCTCCGGCCTGGCGGCGTCCGACGACGGCGGCGCCAGCCGGCGGCAGACAGGGGCGGGGGCGGGCGGCGACGCGGCAGTCGCCGGCCAAGAGGGGACTGCTGGGGACGGGGGCGGGCACATGCCGCGCCTGCGCAGCATCAGCCTGCCCGGCGGCCTGCCCTCGGCAGTATCCCACGATGCCGAGCGCCCGCAGCAGCAGGAGCAGCAGCAACAGGGGCAGCAGCAGCAGGAGGAGGAGCAGGGCGGCGCCGCGGCGGCGCCTGGCCCCTGGCCGCCGCGGGTGGGGGAGCTGCACCTCCCGGGCGCGAGCTGGGGCATCCCGCGGGACCTATCACTCAGGGCGCCGCGCGGCGCGGCACCGGACTGGCGGGCGGCGCCGGCGCTGGTGGTGGACGAGGCGGGGCTGTCCTGCTGGCACAAGCTGGACACCAGCTTTGGGCTACCAAAGGCGCGTGCACGCGGGGCGGCATGCGTTGCTGGGGCGGCAGGGTCTGGAAGGGCTCGTGGGGGGCAGGGTGGCGGGTGCCTTGTGTGCAGGGGCTACCCCATCTTGTGGAGGCCTCTCGACTTTTCACGGACGGCAGCAACACTGTCATGGCAGCAGCCCTTCAGGCTAGATTTTGCGGTGATACACACACACACACACAGACTATAAACTTCCACCCAAAATCCTAACCTCATGTATGTGTGTTTGTACATATGTATTACTCAGCCCCGACCTCGCGCCCACACCGGCAGGCCCATGTTAAGTTGCACCTCCTGACGCCCGCCGCCTACGAGACCCCTGCCGCCGTCGTCGCCACCCGCCTGCTGCTGCGCATCGTAGAGGACCTGCTGCTTCCAGATGTGTATGTTGCAGAGACGGCGGGCACCCACTATTCGCTCGAGGCGCTGCAGTCGGGCGTCAAGCTGGCGGCGTCCGGGTTCCCGGACGTGCTCGCGGAGCTGCTGCCGCGCGTGCTCGGCGCGCTGGCGGGTGCGCGCGCGCGCCGGCTGTCGGCGCCGTTCACAGCCGGGGCGGGGAGGGGCCGAGCGTTTTTGAATGGATGGGGCCGCGTCCTCCAAAGATGTCACGTTTGGTGTGTCGAGAGTGCACAGGCGCCGACATGAGACGGGCAACCCCGCAAAGTAGCACGGACCTGGCCGCTGCACGGCGCACGCTGCGGCCCGCCGGCAAACGTCAGACACAGCCCATCCCTCTGTCCCACCCCTTGTCACGCCCCGCCCCGCCAGGCCTGTCTCTGCGCCAGGTCGAGGAGCGCTTCCCCACGATGGCCGGCCGCCTGCGCCAGGCGCTCACAAACTGGCGGCGCAACAATCCGGGGCAGCACGCCGAGTACGCGGCGGAGCACGCCCTGCAGGCGCGCCACCACCACGTAGAGGAGCTGCTCGCCGCGCTCTCCCGCGCCACGCCCACCGATGTGCTGCTCGCCGCGCGGCGGCTGGCGCCCTTTGCAGCGGCAGGCGACGGCGGCGGCGGCGGTTGCGGTCCAGAGGGGCAGCTTCACCTGGATATGCTGGTGTATGGGAATCTGTCTGCCGAGGAGGCGGTCGCCCTGGCCGGCGCCGCGCGGTCCGCGCTGCGGCCGGGCGGGCTGCACCCGTGCCTGTGGACGCGCGGGCGGGTGATCGATTTGAGCCCGAGCGTGTGGCCGCTCGAGGCGCGGGACTGGCTGCGGCGGCCGCTGGCGACGGCGGAGATGCAGCAGGCAAAACAGCAGCAGCAGCAGCAGGAGCAGCAGCAGCAGCAGCAGCAGGTGGGCAGCGCCGGCGGCGTGCCGGGCGCGGACGCGGCGTGGGTGGGCGGCGGGCGGGCGCTGGAGGGGGGCCGGCAGGGCGTGTCGGTCATGTACCGCCCGGCCAACCCCAACCCGGCCAACAAGAATCACGCGATCTACTACCTCCTGCAGGTGGGGGGGGCTGGGCTGGGGGGATAGAAATGCGGCGGCCGCAAGGCCGTGTGCGCTGAGAGCTGAGCGTTGACGGAGCGCCGCCGCCGCAGCGCTTGCACCGTGCGAAATCATGTGGAATCGACGGCACCAGCTGTGCGTCGAATAATATCCGTCCCCCCTGCCTGTGCCCCATTGCACACACGTGGACGAGCAAAAGGATGTGTGTGTGTCCACACATCCGTATATACGCACGCACACACACACACACACACGCACACACACTTACACACACACACACACACACACACTTACACACATGCACGCACGCCACTCGTGCGCGCGCGCACCTCCGCCCCCAGATCGGCCCCGACGACGTGCGCCAACACGTGCTGCTCGACCTCTTCACCCAGTCCGCCTCCCGCCCCTGCTTCCATGAGCTGCGCACCCGCCAGCGCCTCGGCTACAGCGTCAGCCTGCACGCGTCGACGCTGCAGCGCGTGGTCGCGCTGGCGGTGCGCGTGCAGTCGCCGGGGACGGACCCGGCCGGGCTGGGAGAGAGGATAGGCGCGTGGCTGGCTGCGTTCCGGGGGCAGCTGGAGGGGATGCCCCAGGAGGAGCTGGAGAACCACAAGAGGGTGGGTTTGTGGGGGTATGTTTTATGCATTGGGAGCATTGGATCTGCTGTGGGGTCTGCAGGTGTAGCATGGGGGTTTGAAGTCTTTTGTGTGTTGAGGTTTTGATCTTTGTGGTGGTGGTCATGTTGTTGCAGGCAAAGGTAGGGGCGGGCGCTGCTGTGAAGCTCTCCTGGTGGTTTGCGGGGCGCAAGTGCCAGATGAAGTACTCTGCGGGCTGGACCTTGTCCCGCCTGTTCCGCGCCCTCAGGACGCTTCCCACGCGAGTCGCATCTCACCCATGCCCTCGGCTGCGTCGAAAGCCACATGGCATAGACACCATCGGCGCCATCCCCACCATCCCCTCGTCTCGCCACGCGGCCTGCTTGATTTTAACTATGCATTGCCCCACCTTGCACCTGTCACCCCATGTGCATCGCCTCCAACCCCACACCGTGGATCCTCATGCAAAAACAGGCCCTCCAAGACCGCTACCTAGAGCCTCCCAAGTCGCTGCGCGACGCCACCGCCCGCGCTTGGCGCCCCATCGAGCGCCGCTCCCTCGACTGGGCGCGCCGCCAGCACAAGGCGGATGCGGCGGCGGCGGTCACCAGGGAGGATCTCCTGGCGTTCTACGACCGCCACCTCAGCGAGGGCGCGCCTGGTTACCGCCAGCTCAGCACGGAGATATGGGGCGGCGCCCCCGTGGATGCGGCTGGGGCGGGGGTGGGGGCAGACGGCGAGGGCGCGAAGGCGGCAGGTATTGCGGAGGCCGGCGGCACGGGGGAGGTGCGGTTTGAATTTGAGGTCGGGGAGGGGGAGCTGGAGGCGTTCAAACTGTCGCAGCCGCTGTGGCCGGCGGCTGCGGTGGCGAGGCCGGGGCGTTGAGCACAGCGGCAGTGCTTGCTGGGGGGCAGCGATTGATATTCTTGGAGTAGGCTGGTACTGCCTAACTTGAAGGGGCTTGTGCGGGCGATTGCTGGGCTTCTGGCGCAGGGATTGCCTGATCCTGTAAACGCATAGTGACAGATGGCGACATATCTGCATCGCTTCGACTTCATGCACGTGCGCCGCGCCAACGATCCTGAGCAACAGTTGGCCGGCATGTTACCTGGCAGGAGAAGAGAGCAAAGGCATGCTTGATGAAGGCGAGGCAGGCTCAACAGAGGAAGGGAGCGCAGGATGGGGATTGGTCGCGGTCAACTGAACAGCAGATGAGCAAGTGCCTCGGGGCCAGTGCGCCGGATGCTGGTTGAGCAACAGGTGCACGTCCACTTTCCGTTATTTCGCATGACATCAATCGTCACTCGTATCATAATTCGAGGCAGAAACTGGAGCAGTGTGGATCGCGATCTGCGCGCGTGGCCGAACCGATGGACCCTCATCGCATCTTGGACCTGCCAGAAGCGGCAATAGTTCTCATATGCTCCCATCTTGGCTACAAGCAACGAGCCGCCGTGCGGGGTGCTTGCTGGCGCCTGCGGCGTGCAGTAAATGCGTCGCTGCGGACAGTCACCCTCGACCTGACTCCAGGTCAGCGATGCTGCGGCCTTCCACCGGCCGGAGCGGCAACGCTCACGGCGCGCTTCCCCGCCGCGGCCTGCGTCAAGCTGTGCGGCGGGCTTGGTGCCGCGGAGCGACGGGGCAGCGTGGCCCAGCTGCTGGCTTGCGCGGAGGGCAGCTGGCCGGGCGTGACAAAACTCGACATCAACTCGGAATTGATGCAGCAGGAGCCCTCTGAGCTGCTCGCCGCGCTGGTGCGCCTGTGCCCGCGGCTCGAAGCGGTCGGCGCGCCGCTGGCGCCGGCGCCGCTGCGCGCTCTAGCGCCTGCAGCGCGCAGCCTGCGGCGGCTGGCGCTCGTGCCCGAGTGGCGCTCCTTCCGGCCAGCGCGCCAGCCCGTCTCTTTTGAGTGGGATTGCTGGTCAGAATCAGACCCTGGATCGGAAATCGAAGAAGGGCCGTCGTCAGAGCCGGGAATGACAGCAGCAGCAGCGGCCGCGGCGGCAGCAGCGACAAAGGACTGGCCAGACGGCGAACGTAAGCACCTGGAGCAACGGGCCGGCGTCAGCGTGGCGCTCGCCGCGCTCACAGGCCTGACCGAGCTGCGCTTCAACGTCTGTGGGCAGGGTTGGGATTGGCAGCTGCAGGAGGACCGCGCCGGCATGCTGCGCGGCAGCGCTGGCGCTGGCGCCGTCTTCGGGCTGTTCGACGCTCTGCCACGGCTGCCGCGCCTCGCGGTCCTGCACGTGCCGCTGGTCGAGCGCATCCCGGCGGCGCCCCTCGCCGCGTGCTCTGCGCTGCGGGAGCTGGAGGTGGCGGTGCAGTCCGGGCGCGGCGTGCTGGGGCCGGCGCTGCAGCGCGCGGGGGTGGCGCCAAGCGTGAGGTGGCTGCAGGTCGCCGCCGACTGGTGAGGGACGGCAAGCAGATGGGAGGCTGTGGGCGCGCGCGGCGGGGATGCGACGGGGGAGCCCTGTAAAAACAAATTGGTGCGCACGCCTTTCGCCGCGCATGCCAGGCTGTCAGGCAGCGCTGAAGCTGGGGTGTAGGGGTGACACCAACCCTCGCCCCCGGGCACGCCGCCGTGCCGCCGCCTGCCGTCCGCCGTGCAGGGAAGATGACGGGGGCGCTCCCCAGGTGACCGGCAGTGACTTGGAAGCCATCGCCCATGCCTTCCCTGGGCTGGAGACGCTCGACCTTCCAGACTGTGACGTATCCCTCAGAAGCGGCTGCGCCGCCGCGCTGCCGACGTTGCTGAGCCTGCGCGCCGCCTGCGGCAAGGCGCCTCCAGGGCTGCTGGCCGGCGGCTGGCTGAAGCGGGCGGCGCCGGCGCTGGAGGTGCTGCAGTTGGTGGACGCCGTGGACTGGGAGGGTGACGGCACCGGCAGCTGGCAGGGCCACCCTGCCCTCCGCGAGCTCGAGCTGACAAGTGTGCCCTACTACTTGAGCTCGGCGCCCACGTGTTATTACGACGAATTTGACCTCTGCTGCGAGGGATCGTCCGATGATGAATTCTATCTCCGATGCGGCGGCGTCGCCCAGTACCCCTTTGCGCGCGGCCGCGCCCCGCCCAGGCGCACGACTCTGACAGACCTCGGCCCGCCGGTCGCGCGGCTGCCTGCACTACGCTCCCTGCGCATCGGCCTGACGTGCGGCGCGACCCCGCGCCGCGCTGACCTGGCGGCCGGCCCCGCCGCCCTGCGCGGCTGGGCGGCGGCGTGGACGCACCTGCGGGCGCTGCACCTCCGTGGCGGCGAGTGGTATGACATTGGTGGCACCCTGCCCGTCCTTGCGGAGCGCCTAGGGCCGCACCTGGCGCACCTCTCCCTTGACCCGTGCGCGTTCATCGCCGGCGCGTCGGACTTTGGCTCGCTGCCGGACTGCCTGCGCGCGTGCATGCCGAAGTTTGTGGCCCTGGAGGAGCTTGACCTGAAGCTGTGTGAAGGTGCGGGTGTGCTCGACAGCGACGTGAGTGACCCTTGGAGTAGCCACGCCCCACTGGCGCTGACCCCTGCCCTGCTGACGGGCCTGGTGGCGCCGCTGGCAGGCGCGCTGCGGCCGCCGCGGCTGCGGAACGCGAGGTTGCGGCTGCCTTCGTTTGAGGCCGCGACCAGCAGTGGCGGGCCTTGCGGCCATGCGGCCGGGCCCTGGGCGGAGGCGCTGGTGCGGGAGCTGACGCAGCCCGGGCTGCACATTGAGCTTTATGCTTGCTCTGGGCAGTGGGCGGACGAACCTGATCCTTCCGTTTAGTGATGGCGGATACGCCCCTTTCGCACCGCTAATTGTAAACCAGCCTGGCTCGCAGATGAGGGTGCGCACAGGACCCATAACGTGCCGCCCGAAGCGATGCATGCACCCCCCGCTACCTAGCTTCCTGATTTACTGTGCTGGTCTGGATACCCCTGTCAGCAATTCAGCGTCCAGCTTGCAGCTGACATCAGCTTAATGCACAGAAGGCAGCGCGCATTGCGTGGCTCAGGCAGTGCCTGCCTGCGCTAGCTGAGCTAGGTGGTTAGCGGCCTGTGGGTGGTCGCATCGCAGCCAAGGGGTGCGTACAGCACACACAGTTGGCGGTGCGAAAGAGGTGCAGGTAGAGTTTGAGGTGGCGCAGCGGGAGCGAGCGGCATTTGATATTTCGCAGCTGCTGTGGCCGGCGGCCGTGGTGGCATGGCCGGGGCGCTGAGCAGGGCGGCAGCGCTTTCTGGGGGGCACCAATCAACCTGTTTGCAGCATGCTAGTACTGCCTGACTCGACAGTGTTTCTACGGGCGATTGCTGTGCTGCTGGCGCCAGGCTGGCCCGGTGCTGTAAAAGCGGCTTTGTGCATGACGTGCACGCATCCCTTGGGCTTCATGCATGTGGGCTGTGCGAGAGATCCTGAGCAACAGTTGACCCGCATGTACTCTGGCAGCGAAAGTGATCAAGACATGCATGACTGGGGCGAGGTAGGCCCTAAAGAGGAAGGTGGCGAGAGTGCGATGGGTGTCGGTCAGCAACAGGCGCGCATGCATGCATGTGCGGTGTCAGAGTGGACTACTCCTACTGTGGCATGCCCGATGCAGGTTAGGGCATGGATCCAGGCCCATTTACCGCTTTGTGTAAGACATCGTGTGAGACTCAATTGTTACTTGTAAGTCCAGGCGGAATCAGGAGTAGGCGTGGATCAAGATCTGCGCGCGTTGCCCGTCATGGACCCTCATCGCATGCTGGACCTGCCGGAAGCGGCACTAGTGCTTATCTGCTCGCACCTTAGATGCGAGCAACGAACCGCGGTGCGTGGTGCTTGCCGGCGCCTCCGGCGTGCTGTAAATGCGTCGCTGCTGACAGTCACGGTCGACCTGACTCCAGGCCAGCGATGCAGCGGCCTCCCAGCGTCCGAAGCGGCAACTCTCACAGAGCGCTTCCCCGCTGCGGCCTGCGTCAAGCTGCGCGGCGGGCTTGGCGCCGCAGAGCAAAGCGGCGTGGCCCAGCTGCTGGCCTGCATGGAGGGCAGCTGGCCGGGCGTAAAAGAAATCCACATCAACCAGCAAATGATGCAGCAGGAGCCCTCTGAGCTGCTCGCCGCGCTGGTGCGCCTGTGCCCGCGGCTCGAAGCGGCCGGTGGGCCGCTGGCGCCTGCGGCGCTGCGCGCGCTGGCGCCCGCGGCGCGCAGCCTGCGGCGGCTGGCGCTCGCGCTCGATAGGCGCTCCTTGCAATCGCCGCGCCAGCTGGCCTTGTTCTCATCGGATTCTTCATCAGACTCAGATCCTGGATCAGACATTGAGCCAGGGCCCCCTTCAGAGCTGGAGGCAAGGCCAGCAGCAGCGGCGGCGGCAGCACCAAAGGATGGGCTGGAGGTCGCACTTGAGCAGCTCGACCCGCGGGCCGGCGTCTGCGCAGCGCTCGCCGCGCTCACAGGCCTGACCGAGCTCCACTTTGACGTCTGCGGGCAGGGATGGGACTGGGAGCCGGGGACGAACCCTTCCGGCACGCAGCGCATCACGGACGCCGCGGAGGCCTTGACCGGATTGCTGGAGGCGCTGCCGCGGCTGCCGCGCCTTGCTGTTCTGCAGGTGCCCCTGGTCGAGCGCGTCCCGGCGGCGCCGCTCGCCGCGTCCCCGGCGCTGCGGGAGCTCGAGGTGGTGGTGCAGTCCGGGCGCGGCCGGCTGGGTGCCGCGCTGCTGCGCGGTGGCGTGGCGCCGGGCGTGAAGCGGCTACGGGCCGTCGTCGACCGGTGAGGGAGGGGAAGAAGATGGGAGGCTGCGGGCACGCGGGGCGGGGCGCAACGAGGGCACGAAAGAGATGAGGTGATGTTCAGAGGCTGTTGAAATTTGCTGTGGGTGCGCCTCTCGTGCGCATGACCGGTGTCGAGTGACAAGTTTGGGTCATAAGCGGCCAAACATCTCATGCCAAGGGCGCATCCCGCCGCTGCCGCCCACTGCGCAGGGGATATGAAGGGGTCGCGCCTGAGGCGATCAACGGTGACTTGGAGGCGATCGCCCGTGCCTTCCCAGGGCTGGAAACTCTCGACCTTTCCGGATGGGAGTTGTCCCTCACAAACAGCTGCGCCGCTGTGCTGCCCGCGCTGCTACGCCTGCGAGCCGCCTGTGGCAAGGCGCCTCCGGGGCTGCTGTCCGGCGGCTGGCTGAAGCGGGCGGCGCCGGCGCTCGAGGTGCTGCAATTGACAGACGCGATGGATTGGGCGGGTGGCGGCGCAGGCTGCTGGCGGGGCCACCCTTCGCTCTACGAGCTGGAGCTGACAAGTGTGCCTTACTACTTCAGCTTGCCGCCTACGTGCTATTACGACGAACTCGACTTCTGCGGCGGCGGATCGTCTGACGGCGAATACGGGTGCGATCCCCGCTGGGACGAGTTCGCCGAGGTCTCCCATGTGCGCGGCCGCGCCCCGCCGAGGCGCACGGCTCTGACAGACCTCGGCCCGCCGGTCGCGCAGCTGCCCGCGCTGCGGTCGCTACGCGTGGGCCTCACATGCAGCGCGACCCCGCACCGCGCCGACCTGGCGGCCGGCCCAGCCGCCCTGCGCGGCTGGGCGGCGTCATGGACGCACCTTCGGGCGCTACGTCTCGGCGGCGGCGAGTGGTTCGACGTCGGCGGCGCCCTGCCCGTCCTCGCGGAGCGCCTGGGGCCGCACCTGGCGCACCTCTCCCTTGATCAGTGCGCGTTCATCGCCGGCGCGTCGGACTTTGGCTCGCTTCCGGACTGCCTGCGCACGTGCATGCCAAAGTTTGTGGCCCTGGAGGAGCTTGACCTGGAGCTGTGTGAAGCCGCGGGTGTGCTGGACAGCAACATGAGTGATTCATGGAGCAGCCACGCCCCGCTGGCGCTGAACCCCGCCCTGTTGACGGGCCTTGCGGCGCCGCTGGCGGGCGCGCTGCGGCCGCCGCGGCTGCGGAACGCGAGGGTGCGGCTGCCTGCTTTTGAGGCCGCCGGCAGCGCTGGTGACAGCCCTTGCGGCCGTGTAGCAGGGCCCTGGGCGGATGCGCTGGTGCGCCAGCTGACACAGCCAGGGCTGTGCATCGAGCTTTATGCTTGCTCTGGGCAGTGGCTGGACGAGCATGATAATTCCAACGAGTGACGGTGGATGTGCCGGCCGCGCACCCTTGATTGTAACACAGCCTGGTCAAGATTTGAGGGTGCGCCTGGGACCGCGAACTTGTCGCTCAAAGCGTTGCATGCCACCCCTAGCGCCTAGATTCCTGATTTGCTACGGTGTTCTGGATACCCATGTCAATGATTCAGCATCCTGCTCGCAGCTGACAACAGCTCCATGCACAGAAGGCAGGGTGTGTGGTTCGGCTCAGCCAGTGCATGTGCAAGCATAGGCAGGTGATGAGGTATGTAGATCGACCTGCGGACGGCTGCATCGCAGCGTGCAGATGAAAGGCAGTGCGCACAGCACATGCAGCCGGCGGTGCATGAAAGCTGCGGTTTGACTTTGAGGTGGGGGAAGGGAGGGGGAGCTAACAGCATTCAAACTTTCGCAGCCGCTGTGGCTGGCAGCGGCGGTGGTGTGGCCAGTGTGCTGAGCGGGGGTGTGTCACTTCCTGGGCAGTAATCAATTATCTTGCAGCATGCTAGCACTGCGGCGGGGTTTGTGCGGGCGATTGCTGTGCTTCTGGCGCTGGGTTTGCGGACGTCATGGATGACGCACGCGCATCGCTTCAGCTTCATGCATGCGTGCTGCGCCAATGATCACAATCGACAGGCGGTTTGCATGTGTTCCAGGAATACAAGAGAGTAAGACATGCAAGGTGGACGCGAGGCATGCTCGACAGAGGAAGGGCACGCAGGAGGGCAATGGGTTTGGGTCAACAACAGGCTTGCACAAACCGTAGTGCCTCAGTGCCCTCGCGCCGGATGCAGCTTTAGCAACAGATTCATGTCCATCTTCCGTTTTTTTTCTGACATCAATTGTGACTTCAGGTCGAGGCAGAAACAGAAGTACAGTACGGTACGTAGGTGTGGATCACGATCTGCCCGCGTGGCCGAATAATGGACCCTCAACGTATCTTGGACCTGCCCGACGCGGCACTAGAGCTCGTATTCTTGCACCTTGGCCGCAAGCAACGAGCTGCCGTGCGTGGAGCTTGCTGGCGCCTGCGGCGTGCAGTAAATGCGTCGCTGCGGACAGTCACGCTCGATCTGACTCGAGGCCAGCGATGCTGCGGCCTCCCGCTCGCCAAAACGCCGGCACTCGCGGCATGCTTCCCCGCCGCGGCCTGTGTCAAGCTGCACGGCGGGCGTGATGCCGCGAAGTGGGGCGGCGAGGCCCAGCTGCTGGCCTGCACGGAGGGCAGCTGGCCGGGCATAAAAGAACTCGACATCAACCAAGGAATGAAGATGGAGGAGCCCTCTGAGCTGCTCGCCGCGCTGGTGCGGCTGTGCCCGCGGCTCGAAGCGGTCAGCGCGCCGCTGGCGCCGGCGTCGCTGCGGGCACTGGCACCCGCGGCGCGCAGCCTGAAGCGGCTGTCGGTCGAGCCGGTGTGGCACGTCTTCCGACCCGGCCTTCTGGACTCTGCATCAGACTCAGATTCTGGATCAGACATTGAGGAATGGCCGCCTTCGGAGCTGGAGGGAAGGCCAACAGCAGCGACGGCGGCGGCTGCAAAGGATGGGGCAGAGGGCGGATGCAAGCAGCTCAAGCCACGGGCCGGCGTCTGCGCAGCGCTCGCCGCTCTGACAGGCCTGACCGAGCTCCGCTTTGACGTCTGCGGGCAAGGATGGGACTGGGAGGTGGGGGCAAACCCTTCCCGCGCGCCGAGCAGCATAGCGCACGCGAACGCCCTCTGCGGAATGCTGGAGGCGCTGCCGCGGCTGCCGCGGCTTGCGGTGCTGCGGGTGCCGTTGGTTGAGGACATTACAGCGGCGCCCCTCGGCGCATGCCCGGCGCTGCGGGAGCTTGAGGTAGTGGTGCACGGCGGGCACGGCACCCTGGGGGACGCACTGCTGCGCGTGGGAGTGGCGCCGGGCGTGAGGCGGCTGCGGGGCGTCGGCGACGGGTGAGGGAGGGCGAACGGGTGGGAGGCTGTGGGCGCGCGGCAGGGGCGTAATGGGGGTCCATAATTGCGAAGATGAAGCCCATGCTGATGTCCAGGGACCGTCGAAAGCGGATGCGCGCACGTATCTTGTTGCACATGACGGACTGTTGGGCTGCATGGTGAGAAACGTCTCATGCCAAGGGTGCTGTCGCGCCGCTGCTGTCTGTGTTTGCATCTGCCGTGCAGGGGAGAAGACTGGTGTGGCTTGATGGAGATGATGGGCGACGACTGGGAGGCGATTGCCCATGCCTTTCCAGGCCTGGAATCTCTCGACCTTCCAGAATGGAGCTTATCCCTCAAAAACGACTGCGCCGCCGCGCTGCCCGCGTTGCGGAGCCTTCGCATCGCCTGCAGCCAGGACCCGCCGGGCATGCCCGCCGTCGCTTGGCTGAAGCGGGTGGCGCCAGCGCTGGAGGTGCTGCATTTGACGCACGAAGAGTATTCGGTGGGCGACGGCGCCGGCTGCTGGCAGGACCACCCTTCGCTTCGCGAGCTGGAGCTGGTGAACGTGCTTTATTACTTCAGCTCGACAACGCGATACGATGCGTCCGACCTCCGCGGCAACGCCGACTGCTGCGGCCCCTCGTTTGACGAAGACGCGGCCTGCGGCGCCGCCGTCCAGAGCCCCCCCGCGCACGGCTGCGCCCCGCCGAGGCGCGGGGCTGTGACGTACCTCGGCCCGCCGGGCGTGCGGCTGCCAGCGCTGCGGTCGCTGTGTGTGAGCCTGACGTGCGACTCGACCCCCCATCGCGCCGACCTGGCGGCCGGCCCCGCCGCCCTGCGCGGCTGGGCGGCGGCCTGGACGCACCTGCGGGCGCTGCACCTTGGCGGCGGCGCGTGGTTCGACGTCGGCGGCGCCCTGCCCGTCCTTGCAGAGCGCCTGGGGCCTCACCTGGCGCACCTCTCCCTTGACCCCTGCGCGTTCATCGCCGGCGCGTCGGACTTTGAATTGCTGCCGGACTGTCTGCGTACGTGCATGCCAAGGTTTGTGGCCCTGGAGGAGCTTGACCTGAAGCTGTGCGAATCTGCGGGTGTGATCATGTACAACAAGAATGATGCGTCCAGCCGCGAAGCCCCGCTGGCGCTGACCCCCGCCCTGCTAACGGGCCTGGCGGCGCCGCTGGCGGGCGCGCTGCGGCCGCCGCGGCTACGCAACGCGAGGCTGCGGCTGCCTTCGTTTGAGGCCGTTGATGGCGGTGGCAGCCGCCGCGGCCGTCCGGCAGGGCCCTGGGCGGAGGCGCTGGTGCGCCAGCTGACGCGGCCGGGGCTGTGCATCGAGCTTTATGCTTGCTCTGAGAAGTGGCTGATGGAGGAGCCTGGTGCTTCTGGGGATCAACGGCAGACATGCCGGCTGAAGTTTCCTTTTCCTTTTTATTGAAGCCCCTGTTTGTAATTCAGCCTCGCTCAGCAAGGGTGCGCAGCGGGCCCAAGGTTTGCTGCCAAAGTGTCCTTGTGTGCACTCCCTGCTGCCCAGCTCCCTGATTTGCTCCGCTCGTCTGGAGACCCCTGTGAACGATCCAGCATACAGCCAACGGCCAGCATCAGCGCAATGCACAGCAGGCGGTGTGCGTAGTCCAGCTCAGCCAGGGCCTGCGCAAGCTGAGCCGGGTGTGTACAGTAGCGGCCTGTGGGCGGGTACGTCATAGCCGGCAACTCAAGGGCGATTTGCACAGCTGGTATCCATCACCTGAGGTTTCGGCATATTACACTATCGCACATCGTTTCCCTTCTTGACCGGGCCATCGTTGCGTCTTGCGTGCAGTGTCTACAGCGCACCTGCGAAGAAATCGCAACGTTCGTCAGACGATGATATAAATAGGAAAATTGCTTGAAGATCAGCGGGGGGCCTCGCTGTGGTGCAACAGCGCGCGGGTGCACATCAAGGCTGCGGCGCTGCGCCGCTGCAGCAGCACGCGCCGCAGCAATGCCGCGCCTGCAGATGAAGGCATTTTTCCTCCCCAAACTGTGGTTCCGCGGTGACATGGGGCTCAGGGCAAGGCGTTACACCAGGTGCGGGCCGTTGTGGCGCTCTTCAGACCCGTGCTAGTTTCCACGGGCAGTGGCGGCGTGATGTCACACACTGCACAAGATGCACTGCTCGATCCTGCTGTTTCCCCCTGATGCGACACGCCCCTGGCCGCATGCTGCTTACGCACCGACCTCAGGGCTGTCCTTTACACGTTCAACCTGCACACGCTGGCGTTGCTGGCGCTGGCGTGCCTGTCCGTGCACGTGTGCAACCGCCTGCACTTCACGTTCAACATGGACTTTTCGCTCTGCGCCCTGGGGTGAGCTGTTGGGGCAGCCGTGCGCGGCTATCAACAGGCAGGACCTGCGCCTGGGCTGTTGCCAACGGTGTAGTAGCCGATGGCATGATCACACCTGTGGCAGGTCCACGGCGTTTGCGGCGGTACGGAATGGCCGGAGCATTTTGTGTCCTGTGCTGCGCGGCTCTGCAGCATCGCGCATTGGAATGGAATGCCCATGCCCCACACACTCACTGAGACTGCCCCCGCTGCATATGTGCTGCTCCGCGCGTTCCCTTTGCTCCTTCACCATCTTTCACAATGGCAGCTCCACGTTCCCGCTGGTTTTCGCGATCCAGTCGGCATTTGGCCGCCGCGAGCGCGCGCTGTCCACCATCGCCCAGTTCAAGGCCAGCGCGGTGGGGCTCTACTACATGCACAGGGACTGGACACAGGTTTGTGTTTGTGTGTCCCAAACGCGCAAGCGTGATGGTTGTGTCTGTGTCATTGTTTGGTGACACAGACGAGGGAGAGATTTGGTGTGGATGCGCGGCTCAGAAAAAGCAGGCCGGCAGCAGCCGTGCAGGCATCAGCAGCGCGCTGAAGCCTTGCCCAGCAGGAAAGTTCTTGTGCAGACTGAGAAAGCAGCATTTGTACTTGCTGTATACCACATCTGTATATGGCCTCCGCCATTCATGTAGTGTCAAGTACGGTATCCCCACCCATGCACCCAGGACTGCGACTACCCGGCCTCTATGGGAAACAACTTCACGCCCGCCGCCCGCGCCTGCCGCCTGCTGCTGGCCGACCTGTGCCGCGCCGTGCGCGAGTTCCTCACCGCCCACTCCCACTACGAGTCCTCCGCGGAGGCGCGATTCGACGCGGCGCGGCGTCAGGAGGGCGAGTTCGGGTACGACGGCTCTATTGGAGCGGCCAGCGAGGTGGGCGCGACGCCAGAATGCCTGCCCTGCGCTTGCGTGGCCACGACCAGGATGTGTGTGTGTGTGTTTGTGCTTGCATGTGTGTGTTTGTGTGTGTTTGCAAGTGTGTGTGTTTGCATGTTGGTGTTTGCATGTTTGTATTTGTAAGCGTTTTTGGAAGTGTGAGCGTCCATGCTGTTCCCAACACGTGCGTACACCTCTACCACCCGTCGAGAGCTCCAGGTGTCGTTTGCCGAGATCGTCGCGGAGCAGCGGAGAAAGGACCCCGGCGCCGAGGCGCTGCGGCGGTGCTACGCGGCGTTCAGCCGCATGAGCGTGCTCAACGAGAAGCTGACCGTGCGGTCCGGCTACACCAGGGGCGGGGAGGGCGGCCTGAGCCGCACCAACCAGGTAAGGGGCTGCAGCACAGCGGGCCTGTCTGTCATGTTTTCCAACTTTGTGCATCAGGGCCTGCAAAACAATGGGGGTGACAAGTGAAGAGCAAATGGGACATTGAGGGCTGGATACCGGCTGTGGCGTGTTAGACAGCGCCTGGGGGGTGCAGGTTGTGGTGGAGAAAGCGGCTTTGCCCAGTACCCTGGATGGTGCTTGTCAAATCTCACCCCAACGCCACCTTCAAAGAGTCATGCCCTCGTTGCATCCCTCATCTGCATCCCCATCCCACCCCACCCCACCCACACTTCAAAAGTACCTGCGGTACATGATTGCGGGCGTGGAGGAGCTGCGCATGCTGCGCGAATACAGAACGCCCATCATGATGAGATACGCGGTGCGTACCGACGTGTGCAGCGCCCTCTGCAAGGACATGGGTGTGGGTGGGATTGGGAGCACTTTGTAAGTTGTCCTGTGGTGCAGCTGACACAAGGACCAATTGATTCTCAGGTACACTTGCCTATTTGTGTCGGGGACGCTGACAACGCATGCGCGGCGTGCAAACCGCTGCTGCCGGCAGCCACCGCTGTTGGTCCCGTCCCCTTGCGGTCCTCAAGCGTCCAGTAGTGCTCTGCGGTGACGGCTCCCAATCTCTCTCCCCCGTCAATCAAAACAGAACGGTGTGCTGGTGCACGTCTTCAGCCTGTGCCTGGGGCCGTTCTTCGCGCACTACTGCAGCACGCAGCCCAGCCCCTTGGCGCCCTGCGCCGCCGGCTACATGGTCGCGGGCGTGTACGTAGTCATCGTGATGCTGCTGTGAGTCATGCCGGGCCAGGCAGGGCTTCTGTCAGTACTTCTAGCCTGGGGTCTGGTACGTAGGCATGCAGCACCACCACCACCACCACAGGCCGGCGCAATGAGCCCTTGTCACGTGCTGCATCCACGAGCTAACAACCATGGAGTGACGCATGGGCGCCACCACTTCCCCCATCCACCCGGTGCTTCCTCCCCTCCCCCCCCCCCCAGCTACAATATCGCTGTTGATCTGGAGCAGCCGTTTGACGCCATTGGGCTCGATGGTGAGCAAGAGGGGCGTGGGGGCCGTATGATCCAGGTAGCATAGAGTGAGTCATGCTCTACACGTGGTCTCACGGTGTTGTGTCATCTGCTTGCTGACGAGTCACAATCCTCACGAGAGCTGCACGACTCTGGCACAGCACGCGCGGCGCAGACACCCATGCGAGCTGCGACAGCTGTGCTGCCTGACTGGCTGGCGCGCACAGACACACACACACACACACACACACGCACGCGCGCACACACACACACACACACACACACACACACAGACACACACGCACCCGCCCACAAATCCATCTGCCTCACTCGCGCCCGTCCTCGCAGACGTCTGGTGGACAATGGAAGAGGAGGTGGTGGAGCACACAGTGGACGCCGCATTCCTGCCCGGCACCGCCGCCCTGATGGGCACACGCCTGCCATCCATGGACGACGTGGCAGGCGCCATGCACCCCCCAGGCAGCCCCGGCGGCGGCGGGGGCGGCGGCTATGTTGCATCGCGGCTGTGGGCCGAGGCGCACGCGGCGGGGCATGGCGGCGGCGCGGGGTCGCCCGCGATGGCGGCGTCGAGAGTGGGGTCCGTGGACAAGCTGAGCTGCTTGGGCGACAAGGTGCCTGCTTGGCCGCTCAGCGGCGCTGTGGCAAGCAGCCCGCAGATCCGCGCCCACCGGCCGCCGGTACAGCAACAGCAGCAGCACACGCCGTTCAGCGGCGCCGACGGCGGCGCCGCGCCGGCGGTTTCGTCACCAAGGTTTTCGGTGCACCAGCAGCAGCGGTCGCTTGGTGGGGATGCACGGGGGATAGAGCTGTCATTTAGCGGCCCAGGCGGCTTTCAGCATGTCGTGGTCGGGCCGGCGGGCAGCATGCGGGTGCGGGGGGCGTCCCTTGGGACCGAGGAGGAAGTGGCCAAGGAGGATGCGGCAGCCGCGCAGGCCGAGGCGGATGCACAGGCGGCGGCCGAGGCCGAGGATGCGGGGCGGCCGCTCATGGGCGGCTCTGGTGGGAGTGGCAGGCCCGGGTCGTCGGCGGGCGTCAAGGCGCGCAGCTCGCTGCGCACGTCGAAGAGCGACTGAGCGCGGCCTGGGGCACGAGAGGTTGGGTTCAAATGGGGATGTGCGCACTGCCGACCGCAATGGAAGCCTGGTGCAGCACCGTTTTGCCTGATATAGTTTTCCGAGCTTTAGACGGTGTTAGTTCTGGACTGCCCAACTCTCCGTTTTTCCGTGAGCAATGCCCCCTCTCAGAAGCTCCATCCACACCACCTCCATTGTTTGCCATGCGACATATGACATGGCATACGATTTGTGTTGAGGTCAACATGCAGGAGGCCCGATTGTCACAACCCTGGCGCTGGTTGCTTGCCGATGACACCTTCCTTGATTGCATGGCGCGGTCAAAGCGCTCCCAGGACCGGGCGCGGCAGCCGCCGCGCCGTCGCGCGCGCTGCTGGCACCGTGAGGGGCCGATCTTGCAGCAGCGGTGTTGAGCGTGGATGTCACATTGGGTCGGTGATGCGGCGGGCGATGTCCCCTCCCCGCCCCTGTTGCCCCAGACATTTCAAGATGTTCAGCCCTAGTCATTCCTGGCCCCTGCCGGGTGCGATTGTTATTGCGTCAGGCTGCTCTAGTAGTGGGTCTGTAAACAAGGAGTACACTATGGTGATGCACTGACCCACTGTGATGTGCAGGATGACAGCGTTGGGCGCCTTGCCGTTCACGTGATGGCCTCAACCTGCAGGATGTAGCAGTGATGGTTGCAAGAACGGAGCTGTACGGTATAGCTGCTATGCTGCGATGCAAGTCGCAGCATAGCATGCATTGGTGGCGGCCATCTGGGCCCGGCCGCGCGATATTATTGGTTGGACGCCCGGTGGCAACGCAGGCACCCGCCCAGAGCGCGACGCGCAGCGGCAGCTCTGCAGGCGCTACGTGCGAGATGAGAATCTGGCCGACGGTGGACAATCGAAACGTGCCTTTTCCCTACCAGAAGAGCATAATTACACGTTCTGCTGTCGCGAAGTAATACGCACCCTGCGCATAGAAGCCTCCGCGTGATCGTGACCTACGTGACCTCGACACCAACCATCGTGTCGCAGCAGCCATGAGGCAGACAATGTCTTCAAAGTCTTTTGCAAGTGCTAAACAAATCGGTCTTCAGCGCCCGGTCGCTGCCAGGCGCTTGGTGGTCCGCGCAGAGGCCCCTGAGGCCCCGGTGAAGGAGCGTACGGCCGTAAAGAAGGCGGACAAGGGTCTACTTGGCGAGCTGTCTGGTTTGGGTGACGCGCTCGGGCCCATTGGGCTGACATACAGTGGCGGCATCAAGGTGCGATGTGCTGCGGTAACGCCGCGCGCGCGCACGCGCTGCGTGCGCCGCACCGTCGCCATTGCTGCCGGCGCAGCCCCCTGCTGTTTGGAAATGGCGCCGCAGCCCCATGGCGCACAGGAGCGGCCTCCATGAGGTGCCCCCGCACCAACCTCCGTCGCCGACCTTCGCCCTTGCCACGGGCTCTTGCCTCGTCCAATGGCCTCCACCCACCCACAGCTGTCATGCCAACAGACTCCCCAACCCAACCCCACCCGCCCCACAGCCCAAGGAGCACTCCAGCGTCCCCGAGGACGCGCCGGCCGCCGCCAGCGGAGCCGCCGACGAGGACAGCGGCGAGGCGTCCACCTCGGGGCGGCGCCCGCCCTCCATCTCGCGCATGACGACCGCGGAATGGCGGGCGAAGTACGAGGCGGACGGGACCGTCGACCTGTTTGTAGAGGAAGAGTTTAACTCGGGATCGCGGCTGATCGTGAGTCACGTCTGAGTCACGTGATGCGGGGGTCGCCGGCAGGCGGGGGTCGCCGGCAGGCGACCATGGGGGCTGCCTGAGTCGCGCGATAGAGGGGGTCTCGGGCAGAAGCGGCCAGTCGCGCCGAGGCGAAGACGTGACCTACAGGGTTGACGCCTGTCCTGAATTTCGCTGCGTGCCGCCGCTGTTTGATGGCGGCGAGCGCGTGGTGTGGCGTGTGTGGAGTTTGATGGGTGATGCAAAACCATGAAAGAGGGCCGAGGCTGTCCTCGACGGGTCTGCTCGCTTGCACCCCGTCCATTTACTGCGCGCGGCGCGGAGCTGGCGCATGAGCTGCTACTCGACCCTTCTAGTCCAGCAAGTGGCCCACCTCCTAGCTGCCTCCGCCCCAGCCTCACCGCTGGGTTTTTTCAACTCAAACAACATCTGCAGGGCGGCCGTGCCGTGCACTGGGGCGGCACGGCCGGCTTCCGCACCGGGGAGGGCCCGTCGGCGGGCGACGCGCCGCGCCACACGGTGGTCATCCACAACCCCCAGGCCGGGCAGACAGTGACAGTGGACGTCCCAGAGGACAGGTGCGCCCTATCGCGGATCCAGGGGCGCGGCAGAGGCGCAGCGGGGGCAGAGCAGGGTGCAGGGGATGGGGGCCGGCCGCGGCCAGCGAAAGGGGATCGACGGCCGGCTGGCCCCGCGTGTTCAGGAGCCCAGCGTGAAATGGTAATCGCGTTGGTTGCCGTCCGCGGCTCACGGATGCTGGAATGCAGCCGTTTGATGATGGAGCAGCACCTATCTCCCCCACCGTTGCGGCCGCCTTCAACCCTGAAGGGCGACCACCCTGCCGCCTCCGGCTCCTCGCCGACCCCGCCGCTATGCCGCCGTCAACCTCCCAAATCATTGAAGCCTCCCTGCCTTTCCCTGCTCTCGAAACCCCTCAAGGTACATCCTGTGGGAGGCGGAGGATGCGGGCCTGGAGCTGCCCTATGCGTGCCGCATGGGCTGCTGCACCGCCTGCGCCGTCCGCGTCAAGTCAGGGGAGCTGCGACAGGTGGGGGCCCCTGGAGGGGCGGCGGGCAGCTGTGGGGCGCCTCCAAGGCTGGGTTGCGCACTGTGCTGCAGAGCGCATGCGCAGTCAGCCTCCGTGCGCCGCTGTTCAAGGCTGCAGCAAATGCACTGGTCCTTGCCGCCCTTCGGCCGGCACTCCTGTGCCGCCGGATTGTGCTGCATGCGACCCCCTCATCCGACTGATTCCGCCCACCAGCCATTCGGTTTCACCGCATGCCGCACCGTCAACCGACACCCTTCCACCACATCTTATCCACTCAACATTCTGGTCCCGCCCTACCCCATCTCATCCTGCCCAGGTTGAGGCCCTGGGGGTCAGCCAGGAGCTGCGGGACGCCGGCTACGGCCTCATGTGCGTGGCCTACCCCGTCGGCGACTGCGAGCTCGAGGTCGCTGACGAGGACGAGGTCTACGAGCTCCAGTTCGGCCGCGCCTTCCAGGAAGCTGCGCTCGACCCCAACTCGGCGTCGGTGGAGCGCGACGATTTCGCGCTGGAGATTGCAAACATGGACGAGTGACCGGCGCCGGACGGACGGCCCCGGGGGACCTGAGGTTGCCGCCTGCGCAGTCCGCGGGGCCGCGAATTTGGAGTGATGTGCGCAGCGCCGAGGCGGCGGCAGCTCACAGGGGTTCCTGTGTGGTCGGCTGCTGGGTGGCGGGCTTGCAGGTCGTGGGTGGTGTGGCATTTGACTTTTGGAGCGATGTGAGACGACGGCCGTAACCCGCAAGTTGTGTGCTGAGATGATTTTGTGCCGCAGTGTGCGCCGTGTTGGCGGGGCAGGCTGATTTAGCTGACCAGATTCCTTCCTACTGCAATCCCGGTTCGAGCCTGTGCATGGATGTGGCCTGCTGGCCTGTTCCTGTTTGATGACCCCTTGCTGCCGCTGCAGCCATGATCGAGCCGAGCAATTGCGGCTGCGACCTCTGACAAGTGTCCCTGCAAGCCGCCGCGACGGGGCACCCTAGCGAAACGCGCCTCGCCCTGCTCGCCATTCAAGCGTGCCCCCCCCCCCAGCAGCGGACACCTCTGTAATCAGATTTCAAAATCTACAGATGCAATCAGATCCAACGCTACCAGCAACTGTACTGGTGCACTCTTCTGGGGCCAGTGCGGGGAAACCCAGCGGCAGATTATTGCACCACGCACCCATACACGCGCTAGTAGTCTCAGCGTTGGGGCTGAGGAAATGTGCCATAATTCAGCTCAACAGACCCTCTGGCGAAGCGGGAGCGACACGGTCAGCATGGAGGGTGGAGTCAATACCCGCAGCCGCCACTTGGAGACGAGCTGGGAAGCCACACACTTCAAGCATGTTGTTCAAACCACCAACTGATGCAACCGCCAAGCCGCCAAAAAGTCTTATTTATGACGTTCAGCGATGTTGACAACTGGGTGAGCATAATGCTGCTCGCGCCATTTTGCGTACTGAAACCTGCATGTAGCAGCAGTGCAGCTGCTGCCTACACACTGCACATGGCACGCTTGCCTGCTGCACTTTGGGGAGCCACACCCAAGGGTCGGGTTGTTGGAAGGGCAGGGGCGCAAGTGGTTTGTGTTCACCTGGACGGCCTATTATAATGGTGGGGGAGGTGCAGAGATAGAGTAAACTGCGTCAAATAAGCTCAACAGCTTGGCCAAATTGCGGGCGGCAGCGCTGCGGCGGTGGGCAGGGGGAAGGTTACTCAGGTAAACCCAGCGATGATATACAGGCTTGCACGCGTGGAGCGCCGCCCTTGGGCGCTTACCAACCGCTCAAGCCCCAACAGCGGGGCATCAGCCGGCTGGGCCAACAG